TTTGCTCCTTTTTTCATAAAAACAAAAATATCTCTGTTATTCTTACAGCCACATCAAATTTAGACATACCATCGGAAAGAGCATTAAATTTACTACAAGACGAGCATATATGAGTGTTTAAAAAATCTTCTATACCAGGTGCTGTAAAAAGTTAAATGTAATAATTGTGAAATGAGCAAAATTAGTGGTATCACCTTATTAGTGGTAACGCCAAAAATTTGTTAATGAGGACGTGTTTTTTCTTCAGCAAAAACTACTGTATTTAGTAAGCTTTTCGACGATATATCAACTTTTGAGTTTGCTATTTTTTTTTGGCAACAATATCAAGGGCAAAGGTAATAAAACCGTAAAAATCGAAAATACACAAACTTTATAGTACTTTATTTTTATTTTAAGTCTGTTCGTATTACTCCATGCGTGTAGTTTTTGTTGGAGTTTCTTCAAAAAACCTGTTTTTTTAACTCTCCCTCTTTCTGCTATAATCCGAAATATTGTTACAAACGTGTTTTTGTTTAGAATGCGTCTTTCATGATAGATAAATGCCAAGGCGGCTGTGAAAAACAATATTAACACAACTGTCAAAATCATAAAATTACTTTAAGTGTTCTTGTTGATTACTTAAGTATCTAAATAATTGAAGATGCCACGTTTTTTCACAAATAACGAGTATCGAGATATTTTATTTGTGTATGGTGTTGGTGATGGTTTTGTTTTTATGAAAAAAGCACAAATTTTTTTTAAATAAAAAAATGTTAAATAAAAGAGTAACTATAAACTTTCCAAAAAAATCTTATAATACTTTTTTGTTGAAAATTACTTGTATAATAACCCCCTAAAGTTTGGCCATCAGTATCCGTTACACCCTGTATAAGCCAGTGTTGAGGATTTCATAAGTTGTTGAAAAACAAGTAAATATTGCATTATTTGATCCTATGAAGCCAGTGAACCGTGAGAAAATTATAATAGTGTTAAGTCCAGTAAGAAACTTTCAGTTGCTGCTTAAAGCAATATTCTTCCGAAAAACTAGTAACTAGGTAATTAACAAGAAAGTTGTATAAGCAGTTCGTACTATAGCAACTAACTGTTCTTATAATTATATCATGAAAACCATTATTTCTAGAGAATATTGGATTATAAATGCACAATGCGAATGATTTGTTCAAAAAATTACCATGGCAGATATCTTTCACCACAGAAATATTAGATTAGTTTCTTAAGAAACGCAGAATTAAATTTGTGGTCTACAATTTTTACATTCACAAATCCGTTTGAGGGAAACAAATGCATATATACAAAATTACAAACAAATTTAAATTATAAAAGTGACGGTGAGTATTGTGGGTACACACATTTTCTCATATCTAAACTTTTTCACTGTAAAGATAATTTTGTACAGCCAGACTAAATTATCAGTACATTCTCCGAATATTTTTGTACAACTATCACGTTGAAAGCCGGTCCTCCTTACGACAAGCGGAAAATCATTCAAAGAAAGGAAAAATGTAAATTAGCCTTGCTTTTCCTTTATTACAGGGATTTTTAAATGTGCCTCATAATATATTCTGATGGTACGATGTTTCATACGTGCTAAGGAAGACGTTTAACTCCGTCTTCATACTTGCAGGGCATCCTTGATGTTGAAGGGTTTTAATTGACAATGCGTTACGAATATTTTGAAACCAGTGGTCTTCCACTGCTCGTATAATTTTATGGGGTTCTTATTTATATCTTTGTGAAGAGCAGCTACGTAAATTAATATTTTAACTACAACAATGAAATTTGGTATACAGAATGTCCCGGAAATGGTGGTCAATCTCTCGGATATGGATAGATAATGAGAAAATAATGTCACAAGTTCATATAAATTTTTTTCCTCCGGGCTCACCCTGTAGAGTTATTAGCTCTTGAAGTTGAGAATTAAAAATGTTTTTTTTGCTGTAAATTTTGTATTTTTCAATAAATTTTGAAAATTTTTTGGCTGGATCTATAATTTTTGAAGCTGCTTTGGATGATAATATGAAATCCTCGATAATAATTATGGGGGCCCGAGGGCAAAGCACCACCCACCAAAATTTCTAGAAAAAAAAATTTTTTGTTCCACTATACTCCAAATTTTCCATCATTTTATAAAAATTTTGGATTTTACGTAAAAAAGGTATACTTGTTGAATATCCATAAAATAGATATTTTTTGAGATAAACCCGTTTAAAGAGGAAGGTACCATTTAATTTGAGACATTTTATTTAACAGAAACACAGGTTTAATCGTAGTTGGCTTTTACATATCAGAATGAAGGACAAATAATTTGCAATAGCAGTGTTCCAAATTATGAGAATTTGGACTTAACTAAACTAACTAAACGAAAAGTGCATGACAATCAAAATTTTGTAACTAATATAATTCATAATAAATTCTCAATATTAGTTCCACCTTCTCTTATACAAATACGAGCTCGTTTAACAGAAGACTGTTAACATTTCAGGATTTTGTCGTATTTCATTTGCACAATAAAAAATCCTTTCTTCTAATTCTTCTCTAGTGGTTACAGGTGTAAGAAAAATTTCTGACCTATGGATTCTCCCCCACACCCTCAATTAAAACATAAACATAAAAACATAAAACACACCACAGAAATGAGAATTCCTCCCAAAAATTAAAAAAAAATCCAAACTAGCCATCCGACCCACCTAGGTATCTTTTTAGTAAAATTTTCCGCTGAATCCGAAATGATAAAAGAAAAATTTCTGACTTATGGATTATATAATTTTTAGGAGGAATTGTGGGTGTGTGGGGGAAGATCCATAGGTCAGAAAATTTTCTTTTTATTATTTTCGGATACAGCGGAAAATTTTACCAAAGATAGGTGGGTTGGATGGCTAGTATGGATTTTTTTAAATTTTGAGGAGAATTGAGGGTGTGTGGGGAGGAATCTACACATTAGAATTTTTTATCATTTTCGGATTCAGTGGAACATTTTACCAAAGATAAGTGGGTTGGATGGCCAGTTTGGATTTTTTTAATTTTAATTTTTGAGGGGAATTGAGTGTGTGGAGGAAGATCCATAGGTCAGAAATATTTTTCTTCTTATTATTTTCGGATTCAGTGGAAAATTTTACTAAAGATAGGTAGGTTGGATGGCTAGTATGTATTTTTTTAATTTTTGAGGAGAATTGAGGGTGTGGGGAGGAATCCACACGTCAGAATTTTTTTTATATCATTTTCGGATTTAGAGAAAATTTTACTAAAGATAGGTGGATTGGATGGCTAGTTTGAATTTTTTTAATTTTAATTTTTGAGGGTAATTGAAGGTGTGTGGGGAAAAATCCACACGACAGAATTTTTTTTTTTTCATTTTCGGATTCAGCGTAAAATTTTACTAGACACGATTTTTTTATTTTGTCGAGCTGTGTCCATACAAACACACAAAAAAGACCCTTGTTTTAAAATTGCTAGACTGAGTAAAAAGAGAATATCTTATTCGCGGCCAAAAAAAGAAGTTTTATATTCCAAATTGGTCGTATACGAGAAAAGACAAATTTTAACAACTGTGAAGTTTTTTTTTGGTCCTTTAAAGAAGGAATCGATTCAAGAATTAGGATTCCAAAAAATATTTACTTAATCTTTTCAAACTTATCATCTCTCTCTAAAGAAACAATAATTTTCATACTAACATGGTTGTTAAAATTCTTCATTTTATTTATATAAATATACAGTTAAATAATGTCTTAAGCTCCTATTTTTTTTCGGAATAGCAAATTAAATCATCCCTTTTTACTCTAAATCTATCAATTTTAGGAGAAACTGACAAGATATATTTTTTTGTGTAAAATCAACATATCAATCAGAAATGTACATGTTAATGAAAAAACCAGTTCAAGGATGGCCCAAAAAAAAACGAATATTTTTTTTCGTGTCTCTTGTGAAAATATGTCAGTACATTCTCCGCTCAATTTGCTCAAACAAAATTTTTTTAGAGGACGCTCAAGATTTTAAAAAAATTCCAAAATCGTCAAAAATTGTTTTTTTTAAAATTTTTTTTCTCGTTATTTTATCATCTTCTAGGTTGAAAAAAATCTCGATTCTGAAAATTTCAAATCGATATTTTAATTTCTAAAGGTCACTCATAATTATTTTAACATTCAAATTAGTGTACCTATGTTTTCGAGCGACCTCTAAAAAATAAATATCAACGAACTAATAATTTTTTTTATTGAATTTGATGAACAAAAGAATAGAAATAAATCACGAGACACTTAAATTTTAAAAAATTAAAAAATTATAAATATTTGATACTCACAGTGCGGTAGTAAATTTTGCCTCGAGAAATTTTTTAAGTGTCTCGTGATTTATTTCTATTCTTTTGTTCAACAAATTCAATAAAAAAAAAATTAGTTCGTTGATATTTGTTTTTAGAGGTCGCTCGAAAACATTTTAGGTACACTACTTTTAAAGTTAAAATAATTATGAGTGACATTTAGAAATTAAAATATCGATTTGAAATTTCAGAATCCAGATTTTTTTCAACCTAGAAAATGATAAAATATCGAGAAAAAATAATTAAAAAAAAAATCAATTTTTGACGATTTTGAATATTTTTAAAAATTTTGAGCGACCTCTAAAAAAATTGTTTTTGAGCCGATTTTTTGAAGGGGCTCTTAAAACATGATAAACTAACATATTTTCACAAGACACGAAAAAAAATATTCATTTTTTTTTGGGCCACTCTACTGTGTATATATTTTTTTGTGGCTGTTATATAAAAAAATGGCAAAACAATATACACATTTGTGAAGCTATTCAAGGTATGTCCAATAGTGTACGTGCTTTTAAAAAGAAATTTAATGCAACTTTATAAATACATTCTTATATTTGTATATGGTAGTGTAATTTTTTTTAATATCTAAATATTTCGGAACGCTGTCTATTCTATAGTAAATTATTAAGCATCAAGTCCAGTTAGCAGGTGCCCAAAATGCCTCAGCCTCAGCCCCCGGCCTTACCGTGCAAATGAATGTTGATCCTCGCTAATCGCTCAAGCCGCTGCTGAATGAGTTTGGCCTCTTTTTTACTGGGTTTATGCCCTGTGGGCGGCAAGCCCCTATTCAGAGGCACGTTGGCCACCTCCATTTCGAGATCGCCCGGAAGCGTCGGTAGTTCTAAGAAGAGAGAAATAAACAAAAAATAAATAAACAGAAACGGAAAAAAATCCATGAAAAACCAAATTTCAGGTTCGTTCCGATAAATTCGAAAGGTTAGTTATATTGAATCTGCTAAATTTCGATAAAAACCTAGTGACCATTTTTCACGTATCTCTTCATTAAGTTAGTTGGGCGAATTTTTAATAAAAAGCTAAGACTTTATTTAATAATGAGATTCATTAGATTAATAAAGCACTAGAATTACCGTAATTTTGAGACAAATTCCCTGTTGCCAACTTTGAAACATAAAAAAAAATATTATTCAAACTTTTATTATTTTATTGAATCGGGGCAATTTTCGTATCCGTCAGGATAATTTGTTTGGCAATAATTCAAAATCCAAGAATTTAATCTAAAATGGTACAGACAATTAAATTTTGATAGTCTCTCAACATAAATATAAAAAATATACACAATAAATATAAAAAATTAAAAAAAATAGAAACGTCAAAAACAAAGTGACGTTTGACAAACCGTCATTTTGAACATGATGGGAACAACCACTGATGGTACCTGGTCAACCCAGGGACTTTATTTAGCGAATTGAGAAAAAAAAATAAGAGAATAAATGCATACATATCTTACAACTAAGTTCATTGCAAATTTGGTATGTAATAGAACCTGTAAATATGATTTTTCATGAATAAACATTTAAATAAAAAAATAATTAAATAAATGAAAATAGAGTTAGATAAGAAGATAATAAATGTGTAATTTCCCTTGCTCAAAATATTATTACAAATCTGAACAATTTATAATCTGTAGAATCTATTCCAATATCATATCGACATCTGGATTATTATTAAATATATAAATCTGGGGTTTTCGTTAATGTTGGTCACTTTTATGAGAGAAAACTTCAGGTCAAAAAAACTTCCATTATATTCTTTAGTTTTCGAGTTATCACCGAATTGTGTTTGGTACCTAATGCATTTGTTTTTAGTCAAGGCCAACTTCGTATTTTAATGTAGAAAAATGAAACCCCTTTGAATTAAGTATGACAAATATTACATATTCCAGGAACAGCTAGAAAANTTCCTCCCAAAAATTAAAAAAAAATCCAAACTAGCCATCCGACCCACCTAGGTATCTTTTTAGTAAAATTTTCCGCTGAATCCGAAATGATAAAAGAAAAATTTCTGACTTATGGATTATATAATTTTTGGGAGGAATTGTGGGTGTGTGGGAGAAGATCCATAGGTCAGAAAATTTTCTTTTTATTATTTTCGGATGCAGCGGAAAATTTTACCAAAGATAGGTGGGTTGGATGGCTAGTATGGATTTTTTTAATTTTTGAGGAGAATTGAGGGTGTGTGGGGGGAAATCCACACGATAGAATTTTTATTATTTTAGGATTCAGCGAAAAAATTTACTAGACACGATTTTTTTATTTTGTCGACCTGTGTAATTATCTGTCGATTCCACACAAAGACCCTTGTTTTAAAATTGCTAGGACTTTGAGTAAAAAGAAAATATCTTATTTGCTGCCAAAATAAGAAGTTTTATGTTCCAAATTGGTCGTATACGTGAAACGACAAATTTTTAAAAACTATGAAGTTTTTTTTGGTCCTTCGGTTAAGGAATTAGGATTCCAAAAAATATTTTCTTAATCTTTTCAAACTTAGCATCTCTCTCTAAAGAAACAATAATTTTCATACTAAAATGGTTGCTAAAATTCTTCATTTATCTATACAGTTAAATAATGTCTTAAGCTCCTATTNTTGGTACCTAATGCATTTGTTTTTAGTCAAGGCCAACTTCGTATTTTAATGTAGAAAAATGAAACCCCTTTGAATTAAGTATGACAAATATTACATATTCCAGGAACAGCTAGAACACTTAAAATTTTTTTTAACTAGGTACACTTCCATTAAAAAAAAAATTAACTTTGATTTGTAAGTCGAAAACCGTTAGTTATTAAAATATTAATTACATCCATATGAGAAATAAATATATAAGACAAAGCATCAATATTACAGACAAAAGTCCGACTGTGGCGGTATCAACGTTTTAATTTTTTCTTGTAACTACACGGAGAAAACTGCTATAGACTTTTTATTAATGACGTCACATACGCCAAATAATAGGCAACCCCATAGTACACGTTGTGATGAAGAATTCCTCAGTACTTTTACTAAATCGATCTTATACAGGGTGGTCCACTTTTTTTTTTATCAAACTTAAGGAATCAATACATTATCAAAAAATAATATTAGTTTCCTAAATAAACTATACCCGACAAATGTTTACTTTTTGAGATACAGCGCGTTAAAGTTTCCCGAAAAAAAATATATTTTTCGAATTTTTCTGCAGGNAAAATTCTTCATTTATCTATACAGTTAAATAATGTCTTAAGCTCCTATTTTTTTTTTGGAATAGCAAATTAATCTCTTTTTACTCTAAATCTATCAATTTTAGAGAAACTGAGAAGATATATTTTTTGTGTAAAATGTAGATGAAAAGAACAGTTCAAAAGTGAGAATTTAAACGTTCTAGTTGTTAAATGAAGAATCTGAGAAATCCGTAGCTGCTGCATAACCACTTTTTTGAGACACCGTGTATTAGGGTGGCCCAAAAAAAACGAATATTTTTTTTTCGTGTCCCTTGTAAAAATATGTCAGTACATTTTCCGCTCAATTTGCTCAAAAAAAATTTTGATTTTTAAAAATTTCCAAAATCGTCAAAAATTGTTTTTTTTAATTTTTTTTCTCGTTATTTTATCATTTTCTAGGTTGATTCTGAAAATTTCAAATCGATATTTTAATTTCTAAAGGCACTCATAATTATTTTAATTTTCAAAGTAGTATACCTAAAATGTTTTCGAGCGACCTCTAAAAATAAATATCAACGAACTAATAATTTTTTTTATTGAATTTGATGAACAAAAGAAAAGAAATAAATCACGAGACATTTAAATTTTTAAAAATTTAAAAATTATAAATATTTGATACCCACAGTGCGGTAGTAAATTTTGCCTCGAGAAATTTTTTAAGTGTCATGTGATTTATTTCTATTCATTTGTTCATCAAATTCAATAAAAAAATTATTAGTTCGTTGATATTTATTTTTAGAGGTCGCTCGAAAACATTTTAGGTATACTACTTTGAAAATTAAAATAATTATGAGTGCCTTTAGAAATTAAAATATCGATTTGAAATTTTCAGAATCAACCTAGAAAATGATAAAATAACGAGAAAAAAAATTAAAAAAAACAATTTTTGACGATTTTGGAAATTTTTAAAAATCAAAATTTTTTTTGAGCAAATTGAGCGGAAAATGTACTGACATATTTTTACAAGGGACACGAAAAAAAAATATTCGTTTTTTTTGGGCCACCCTAATACACGGTGTCTCAAAAAAGTGGTTATGCAGCAGCTACGGATTTCTCAGATTCTTCATTNAATGATACTGAATTTAGCCTTGGAGGTAATACATAAGGTCCACAAATATTTCCACCCATCACACCTAACCAGATATTAGAACTAAATTCTTGCTGGTATGATCGGCGTCTCACTTCATGAGCCCAAATATGACTGTTGTGATAATTAAATGTGCCTCTTCTTGTAAAACAAGCTTCATCGGTCCATAAAATATTTCGAATAAATTCATTGTTATACTGCCAACGGTTTAAAATCCAGCGACAAAAGCTTAACCTTTTTTCAGCATCTCCTGGATGTAGATCTTGTACGGGATTGAAGTGATATGCACGTTTACGGAAATTGCGATAGCAACGCCAAACAATCTTGAAGAATATCGAAGGCGTCTTACTATTTGAGAAACTCTCGACTTATGAGATTTTTATGTACGCTTGTATTAGAATTAGGCAAATTATGTTTAGGTAAGTAAAACAATAAATAATAAATTCGCATGGTAATATGTTGACGTTATTGTATAGAAATAAGTTAATAAATTTTACTTGAAAATGATAATAGTTACGAAAAACTTACACGGATAATTGTTTGTCCCAAATTAAACGGAGAATACAAAAAATATTGGTTTTTAAATTTCAAGCCAGTGGCGTACTAATATTTTTTTACTAAAACAATGGGGACCCCTATTTTCTCCGCCACTGGTAAAGTAAAAAAATTTTAAAATTCTCCAAAGATCACACGTACAGTGTCAAATCATTTATAAAAATCTTACGGGTGAATCCTCATCACCTACAGAAAAATTCGAAAAATATATTTTTTTTTCGGAGACTTTAACGTGCAGTATCTCAAAAAGTAAACATTTGTCGAGTATAGTTTATTTAGCAAACTAACATTATTTTTTGATAATGTATTGATTCCTGAAGTTTGATTGAAAAAAAGTGGACCACCCTGTATACTTTGACATAAATGCCGAAAAATGTCTTCTTTTTCATGACCTTACAAACATCGTGATATTCTGGCAATATTAGAAATATTTACGAATTTTCAAACCCCAAGTGACAAACTAAAAGAATTATAGAATTTATATTTTTAAATTTATAGAACAATTTTGACTTTTATAGTAATTAATAAATTAAAATTATATCAATGGTAGTTACTGAGCATGCGCATTAAAGATAATTTCATGTAAGCGAAGTAGCCTCGCAACAGGATATCATTGAAGAAAAGTTTGGTTCTGGTTAAAAGTATAAGAGTATGTCTATAATAAACCACATGCCGAAAGAAACACTCGATCAACAGGCTGACACAGCACAGCACCAAAAAAAATAATAAAAATAATCGGTAGAACCAGAAAATGCTAAGATTAAACAAAAGAAGAGAAAATACGCTAATGACAGCGATGACATATCAACAAGATCTCACCTGCGTGTGAGGCTATTCTTCCCGAGCATGCGCGTTAGGAATAACACGGCTAATGTTAAATTTTTACTTTANATACTCGGTAGAACCAGAAAATGCTAAGATTAAACAAAAGAAGAGAAAATACGCTAATGACAGCGATGACATATCAACAAGATCTCACCTGCG